ACACAGATTATTATCTAAATATTTCATTCATTTAATTATTCGACATTGAAACTGAATCTTTGTATCTGTACAGATGAATCGAGAAGATTGATGCATATCTTTTGAGTTACAGCAAACTGGATATTCCGCGATGCGAATATATTATTCGATGATTGAACACGTTCTCGTCGTTGTTAATTATTAATAGAACTCCGATGTGTGTGTCTCTACGTCGCTATATTTTTTTTTTGTTGTTGCAATAAACGCTGCTACAACAAACAACACGCAACTCGTGTAACCGCAACATGACCATGGCGAATTTTTCTATATTTTTTTTAAAATTGTATTTGCGAATGAAAAGACGTATCACAGAGATCGGAGTGATCATTGGTAAAGCGCGGAGTATATGGAGACACGAGATATAGAGGATTGCGGTCGGTTGGAAAAGGAGGCGAACGAAATAGATTTAATTGGCTGCGCTTAATTGTTAATTGCGGTAATTTGCAGACAAGGCTGTCTCAATAACAAGCCGGAATCTCGGAATATTCGCGAGCGCGCGCGCGAAAATGAAACTGTAACAATAACTATATAGTTTTATTATTACTGTTTTCGCGTGAATTTTTCCGGAAATAGAAACCAAGAACTAAAATTATATTAATAGACAGTTTTTCATCTCGCCTTCCTTAATACGTCGATCCGTGCGCGCGGTTTCCTTTCTTTCATCTCTCGTCGGTTAAGAACTCGCTGCAAATTTTGTAAAAGCTACGAAACAATTAAATGGCACACGGCGAGCGTTGCGCAACGGCCGTAATTTTCTAAGCGAGCCTCACTAAAGGTTACGTCGGCGTATATACTTTATATATATATATTATACATATTCGTTTTGACGATCCGTCAAATCCAGAGATTTGGTCCGGAGGTCGCGGCAGTTTAGCGCGCGTTTCGTGACCGCCTACACTGGCTATTAGTTACTTTAACTCTCCTAATCCTGCGATTCGCCAGATCACATTTTCTTCTTATTAAGCTTAATAATGCGTTCATTTAAAGAGATTGTGGATTTCGAAAAGAACACTGTTAATGTCTGAGAGGTGTCAACTAATATTAAATTCTTAGTATTTTTATAATTTACTTGTCGCAGCTTTCAGTAAATCTTGGACAAGTATGGTATACTTGCTTTAAGTGACTCGAACATTCGACCAATTAACTTTAACCGCACAACAGCAAAATTTGATGAATTGAAGGAAACAGCTTTCATAAAGCAACGATGATAAACTGTCCAAATATTCTGATGAATTGAATGATTCTCGTTGAAAATTAATCTTAATTTGCAAACGATATAAGTGTTGATTATCTCTACTTATATGTATGACATTTGCAAGTGTCATCATTGCGTAATGTTTCTTTAGTATTCTCTGGATGTAAATATTGAAGATTGTTGTGTACATTAATAATAATAATATGTTTCAGCGAAGAAAATATTCCATATGGTTAACGAAATGAGATGATGTGCGAGATTATAAATGAAAGTCATATAAGAGAGATAATACAATAACAATAAGAAGCACAAGGATTAGTTGGACGCAGCATCTGCGATGGTGTTAAGTAATTAGAAGTTGTTTCTGTTTCAGGGAGGGAACGCTCTTGCTCTCTCTCTTCTCTTTTTCTCTCGTTTATTAAACCATAATCAATTAATCGATCTATAAACATCGCCGCAGAGTACATTTGTATGAGATCTCCGCGGTGAACAGAGACAACAATGCGACCGGATGGCCTTGACTCCAGAAATGCGTACCTCTTTGCACGGAGACCATGAAATGAACACATCTATCTTTTTCATTAAAACATGAATATCAATATTCGCCGTCGGAGAAGGAGGAGGAGGAGAAGACGAAGAAGTCTCGCTCTTGTTATATGTACACGTTATTTTTGTTGCTTTTGATAAAGGCACGATACTGGAAACCGCAATTTCCATGCAGAATTGTTTTTAATCGTGGACGTCGTGCATTTCCTTTTCATTAAAATTTATCTGGGGCCGCGGCACTTTGCATTATTATATGTGTTTGTGTGTACGAACGTACATATATATATACAATTTATTTCTATGCATACTACTTTTTTTTTATCGTTCTTTGTCGCCGAACCCCTTCAAGGCGCCACATGCAACCCGGATGGGGTCTTCGCACGCAACCTCAACCCTCTCTCCCGGTAAACCCGGCTTCGTCCAGGTTACGTTATTGTTTAAATAATATCTGCAGACACGTCGGAGCGCGGAATGTGGAATTTCTAGTCGCGCACAGACCGTCGTAAATACCGTCCTTTTGCACAACACACAATTAGATAATAATGTGTCTCGTAGAATGTGTGCGCCACCGCCGTTTTTTCATTCTCCTTCTTCACTTTATATCTCGGTCGGTTATTATTTTATTTATTTATTTATATTTTTCTTTAATAGAATTGTTAACTTTTTCTCGCCGCCGCCGCCGCCCACAGGAATTTCCAGGACACAATGCATTCAGAACCACTTCTTGACTTGGTCTGGCTCCGCTCTGCGACCTGAATCGAAACGCGGAAATCGCATAAATTTAATCATAACGCGACAACGCGTTTGTTTTACTTCCAACGCCAGATTTCTACTTTCCTATATTAAATAAATAAATAAGTACACCTCCGAACGACGCTTTTTAGCTGAGACAGACGAAGGAAACATTTCATCTACTCGTTTGCGTAATCGGATCAATCGTAGATCGTTCCATCGCAGAGATTATCAAAAGACCGGAGGCGCTGTTTGCCAATAAAATTTTTGTACAAGTGATGCAATTTTTAACACTCGTGATTTAACATCTTGAATATGTGAATTATTGGCGGCGAAGAGACTATAAATTAGAGCGGTTGGCAAGGATACAACATTTACTCCCTTCTTAACAACGCAAAATAGAAGACTTTCTCGAGTTACAGATATTCCGAAATTTCTGCCCACATTTAAACAATTCAAATAAACATAATTTAAACTATTATACTTTAAATGTGCGATTTATTAAAGAATAAATTTGAATGTATGCAATACATACTAGATTTATTCATATGAAATAGAAGATTTCTCGAGAAATCTTGACAATATTTCTTACTAGGATCAATCATATATTGCAAATATACACGATTCTTACATAATTCTTATTAATATACAGAAATGTATCGTACTTTCTAAATTATTATAAAATTCCAAATCACTGTTTTAAAAGAATATATACGTAGAATAATTTATGATCATAAATATGCACATTTTAAGTATTTTGCGGTTGCAGAAATGTTCTTAAATATTTGTTCTGTATTTCTGAATATCTTCAGATAGATGCATATGCTTGCAGAAATAATATGTGTTCTTATTTGTTAATAGTTTTGTCGACGCGTTAAAGCGATAAAATTAGTTTGAGATTATTTAATAGCTGGTATTCAGTGTTTAAATGTATAGGTTTAGTTCTAACAACTGAGGCTATTATCGACCCAGCTTAGGTGAACGTGTTACGGGCGTAAATTAAGGACTGTAATGAGGTTTAAGAGTGGTTTCGTTAATACTCCGAAGTGTAATTAAGCAATAACTCGCACCTTTCACATTTTCGCGAGATTGATTGATTCTGTGCTGCATAAATTATATTCATAACTGGCGTTGTACAACTGCGAATTCCTATGTTTTTATGTGTGTGTGTGTGTGTGTCTGTCTGTTAATTACTCTACAATTCAAACATTTATCGCGCGGTGATTCGAGTCGCCGAAGTGAAAAAGCTACGGAAAGAAGGAAAGAGATTTGAAAATACACAAAGAACGAGAAAGAGAGATATCGCGATGTGTGTAATAAAATTGATCGGTGGAAGGCAATTAAAAGGCAGCCGTTCGAAACAGGCATTTGTAAAGATCAAGTAAAGGTGCAGTTTCATAATGTGTCAGTATTTCATATAAGGCAATCGCATAAAGTAGAAAACTATTGGACTCTCCGATCAAAAACGCTCCGCGATTCACACGCTCTCACGACTCCCGACTACTATATACTACTTACTATTACCACCACCATCACCACCCACCGATCAGAAAATCTTCAACAATACCCATGCATCATCATCATCATCTACGTACGATGGTTATGCATGTTGTTATTGTTGTAGTGTAACGCCGCCGGTTTATGAAATTGGATTAGGCCGCTCGATAATCGTGACTGGGTTTTTCGCCTAATTAAATCGCGCGAGCTATTTGCATTTTGCGTAATTAGAATTTATGGCCGTATCAATGAAACATATGCAGACCGTGGAACTGCGGAACAATTATATATGAATATTATAGGTGGAAGGGAACAAAAAGATAAAATAATGCGCAACGCCTAGAACCATGTCCTTCCTAGGTTCACCTAAATGCGAAGATCGTGCGGAAACAATGAGACCAATCGTGAAATTTAAATACGTAACCTTGGCCAGATAAGAAAAAAAGCAGATGAAAAATAACAGAAATGTATATCTGTGAATATATACGTTTACGAGCGGAACAACATTCCATGACTTCGTAAATAGAATAACGACATTAATCATTTACATTTAGCATTCCTCGATAAAAATAATGGAAGAAACTTTCAAATAAAAAGAAAAAGAAAAAACCTCTTCGTTCATGAGGTGTTGTTGTTTAATTTTTATTTCGTTCTGTCTCTCTCGAAATACTTTCGAGTGTATTGAACTGCATGTGCGCCCGTGGGGCTCGTAAGCTAATTAAATTATATTTCGTTGTTGTTCCTCGAATTACGTGTGTTACATACTCGAACCCCAATTCGATTTGCATATTTTTTTTTTAATGCGACAGTACCACCTTGCCCCATAAAATAGCACCTGGTCCCTCCCCAAATACCTTCTGTCCACGACACGAAAGAAAATTAAACAAATGACACTGTAATGAGGCCAATAAAATGCATTGAATTGCAGGAGCGACAGTTGCAAGGATGTCCTTCTGCTTCCAGCAATCATCTGCATCTATATATTTTATTTCTTTGTTCGTTTCAGATGGCGTCTCTGCCGCTGTCGAGGAGCGCGCCCTGCTCGAGTTCGGATTCCGATGAATCGGACGCGGACAGCGCTATGCTCGCTTCTTGCAGCCTCCAGCTGCAGGAGATCAGGCAGGAGGATTTAGCTGCCATCCTTCCCGATCAGCAGGAGTTGGACGCGTTCGGCGCCTTCGAGGAGACGGAGAAAAGCTCGCCGCAGACCGGCGACGCTTCCGGATCCGACATGGAGCTGCCGCAGCAGGCCGTCAATGCGATTATCCAGCGAACCACCGAGAGCTCCAGCGAATCCGAATCTCATCCGCCTCCGAATCCCAGCAGCCTATATGCAAACAGCCTGCTGCAGCAATTCGTCGCCCAGACGCAATTGCTGAGCACATCGACGTCACAGTCGGGCGGCGCTGATGGCGGGTCCGGTCCCAACCAGAACGGCGGCGACGCTCCGAACGCTCTATCAGCTGATGATTCTGTCAAGAGGAAACGCGGCAGGCCGAAGAAGATCAACAAGAATCCGGAGAGCTCGAAGATCGTCGACAAGTCCTTGCTGAACATCGAGTCCTACACGGATCCGAACGTCTCCCCGGACTCGGGAATACAGAACAGTCCGGACCACGTGTCCAGCCCCGACTGCAGTCCGCTGCCGGTGACGAAGGGCGGCAAGTACGGGCAGCAGGAGAAGAAGTGCCAGGGGAAGAGCAGCCAGAAAATCAAGGAGCAGCAGGCGAAGTTACCGGTAACTTCGAATCGATTCGATCGTATTCTGTACGGCAACACGGATAGAGTACTGTATCCGCCGAGACGTAAAGTCGGGAGGCCGCCCATCGTCAAGAAAGGACCCGGGCGGCCTCCCAAGAACAAAGTCGAATCAAAACCCGCCCCCACCAAAATGGAACTGAAAAGCAATAAAACGAAGAAGAGTAAATCCAGCAAAGACAAGGAAATCCAGCAGCTCACCACGAACACCAACAGCCTGAGTCTAGGTAACACCAACAACAAAGCGAACGGCGTCAAAGAAAACAGCAAATCGTCGAAATCCACGCACCTGTACAATATATGCGAAAGGGTCAGCAAACGCCTGGAATTGAACAAGGACGTGCCACAAAAACAAGAAGGCCATTCCCACAAAACCAAATCCAACAATAACCGTGTTATACTAGGAAGCAAAAATAAAATAGATCGTGTTAAAAATAAATATCTAGCGTTGAAGAACGCCAAACTGATGCACAGCAAGCACAAACACAAGAAGCACAAAAAGTGCAAGTTCAAAATACTGAAGCCTCTAGCAACCGCACACGTAGATCCGAAATTGAATAGCGAAATAGATAAGTTAGTGCAAGATTTTGTGAAACTGTGCAACATTAGTACATGCAAACCGGCCAAGGAAAACGTGCCGGAGATTCTTAAAAATATCAAAAAAGTCTCGAAGAAACGGAAAACGTCCGATAACGTTGACCGCAAAAAGAAGAAACAGAGTACCACCACTATCAACAAAGAACCGACCTCAAACGAGCAGCGATTGCCGCTCAAGAAACGTCACTATCACCTGACGACCAACGAGAATAAACCCGAGGAAGTGATCGTTAGCGAAGACAGCAAGAACAAAAACAAAATCCTCGTAGAGAAAAAAGTCGAGCAACATCCGCAACCGAGTCCCATCAAATCAGCGAATTCTTCACCGAAGGTGCCCACGATAAACAACAATGAATACGGAGTTTCCGATCACATCGAGGAAGCGATCGAAGCATGCATCACAAAGTACACATCGCCGAAGCTGAAGGAAGTTAAAGTTGAAGAAGTCTCGCCGAAAGAGGAGAAACCCGCTTCGATTACGGCAACAACTCCGAAAAAACGTCACAGATTGGAGCAGGCCGCTCAAGAAATTGCAACTCTACAAGAGAAACCCGAAACGATGGAGAACGTAGTCTCTGAAATGAATCTGAAACGCAATTTAACAGCTAAATTGAATGAGGTGACCAAGAGAATAGAGAACAACACGGCCCAAATGAATACTCGCAAGAAAAATCGATTGGAAGATTTGACGTCGAATCTAGCCTCGAAAATAAGCCCTGCGGAGAGTTCGGATAGCAATAAACGCAAGAAGGAAGTGAAGAGTGAGGTTCGGGCGACTGTGATCAAATACCCCGCCTGCAAGAAAGCGAAGCCCATCGAACCGGAGATCTTGGAATCTGTCGTCGATGAGAAACCTACAGGAATCTTCATGCCCACAGTAGATTTAGAAATCAACATTCCCGAAGCAGCTGATCATGACACAAACACGATACCCGAAGTACCTGAAACTATTAAAAATGATATTAAGACAATTCCGACAAGCGCAACTACAGCAACCGTTGCATCGAATAAAATCGCAGAGGTGAAGAAGCGTGTAAGAAAACGCAGAGCCATAAATCGCACAGGATTTCCAACAGTCAAAAAGAAGAAAAAGAAAATCGTGCAGGAAATAATCGTACCTATTATAAACACTCCGGAAATTAATTCATGCGATAGGGTGCCGAAAGACGGTGAAGAATATTCCTCTTTCGTGGAACGATCGGAAAAGAGCGACACCGAAAAGGTATCCTCTGATCTCTACAAAGTTTCTAAATGGGAAGTCTCTAGTGAATGTGATAGTTTACCGCAAGAGGATCGTATCGATTTTGATTCTCTTGATGTTAAACAAGAACGGATGTCTTTGAGGAACAGTTCACCTTCGACATCGGTGGACACCTCGAAGAAAACAGACACGAGCAGCGATGTTGATGATTTGACACTGGAGGCGAGGATCGAGAGGTTCAGAAAGAAGAATAAACTGAGGAGACGACACGGTTTGGAGCGAAAGTGCAACGAAGGGCATTTGAAGAAAAGATTAAGAGATACTTCGCCGGCCAGCAGTATAGAAGCGTTCGATAAGAGGTTCAAGGATGATAGAGCTTCGGCGTCTGGGGATGAGAAGAAGAACAGGAAAGTGCCGAGGTGGAGGAAGAAGTGCTTACTGGCTGGACTGTTCTCTGATTATTATAAGGAAGACGACGAGACAATCAAAATGAAGCGAAACGAGTACGTTACTACAAAAACTAAATTGTCTTATAATCCGGAAGAACATCCGTACGGATTATTACCAGCTCCTTACCATTGCGGCAAATACTTGAGGTGCCGGAAAATAGAGTTTCAGCTGCCTTACGACTTGTGGTGGCAACACACGCATTCGCAATTACCCGGCAGAGATTTGGTGCCTTCTTGGAATTATAGGAAAATTAGAACGAATATTTATAACGTTAAGAATACAGCCGGCGCCTGCGAACCTCAACCATGCAATTGTTCTCCTCAATCCGGTTGTGGCGACGATTGCATCAACAGATTGGTCTTAGCGGAGTGTCCTGCGACTCACAAGTGCCAGAACCAGAAGATCCAGAAGCACGAGTGGTCACCGGGAATCGAGAAGTTCATGACGGAGAGCAAGGGTTGGGGAGTCCGCACGAATTCGGCCATCAAAAACGGTGATTTCATCCTGGAGTACGTCGGAGAGGTGGTTTCCGATCAGGAATTCAAAGAACGCATGGCCAGCAGATACGTGCACGACACCCATCACTACTGCCTGCATTTAGATGGTGGCTTAGTGATCGATGGTCATCGCATGGGTGGTGATGGTCGATTCGTTAACCATTCTTGTCAACCGAATTGCGAGATGCAAAAGTGGTCGGTGAATGGACAATTCCGGATGGCTCTCTTCTCGTTACGAGAAATAAAACCGGGCGAAGAACTGACGTACGACTACAACTTTTCACTCTTCAATCCTGCTGAAGGTCAGGAGTGCAAGTGCGGTAGCGAAAATTGCCGAGGTGTGATCGGTGGGAAATCCCAGAGGGTAAGGCAAATTCCCGTGCAAAATCCCCCTCCGCAAGCCGGAAGAGTCGGAAGGCCGCGCAAGAATCAAGCGAAGAAAGCAACGAGCAACGCCAAAGAAGTAGTTACGGCTCCGCCACCGCTGCCGCCTCCGGCCTCGATTGTTCCCCAAATGAAACCAATTAGTCACTCTCAACGGCTGTTCGTGCTGGAGCACCATTGTTTCCTTCTGCGAAATCTGAAGAAGGTGAAACGGGTCAGAGATAGGTCGTTAACATCCACCGTTTCCAGAACCCAAGCGCCCACACCAACGGACCAGATCTCGTTCTTGAACCACCTGAACGCACTGCGACAGCCCAGGAACATGAAAACACGGCAACTAGCACAGGCGGAAGATGATCCTGAGCTTCACAAAACCGTTCGTCTGGCGAATCTTCTGCGTGACATCTTCAACGTTGTTATCAAGTACAAGGATGGTAACGACGAGAAGCTGAGCACACCGTTTATGCTGTGTCCAGCAAAGCGAAAAGTGCCCGAGTATTATCAGAAGATAACGGAACCGATCGATTTGACTACGATAGAGCAGAACATCGAGACTGGCGTCTATAAGAACGTGGAGAGCTTCGACGCCGATATGAATAGGATATTCACAAATGTCATCAAGTTCTATGGAAGGACCGCAGATTTGGGAGTGGCATCCACGCGTTTGAAGAAGGTTTATAACGAGGCGAAGAAGGAAAGTCTCCCGAAATTCCAACATGTCCTCGGCGTTAAACCACCAGCCAAATTCACATCCAATAAGAAAAAAGGTATGCTTCTTGTTTCATCTTGTTCACCAAGCAATGTATTAATGTACTTTGTTTTATTGTCTTAGGCGAAGAGGAAGATATTATTCGTTGCATTTGTGGCATGTTCCGCGATGAAGGGCTCATGATTCAATGCGAGCGGTGTCTTGTCTGGCAGCATTGCGAGTGCGTCAAAGCGAATGCGGATGCTCCCAGTTATCATTGCGAGAAATGCGTTGCCAGAGACGTGGACTACGAAATCCCAATGGATGAATACACTGAACACGGTCATCAGTAAGTTTTGTTTTCGCTCTCTTCGGATAAACGGCATAATAACATTTGCGAATTCTAGGTATTACATGACTCTGATGAGAGGCGAATTGCAATTGAGGCAAGGCGACACCGTGTACGTGCTTAGGGACATTCCAATTCCCGGCACCGATAAGAAGCACACGTACGACACGATCGGGGAAATCAAATACGCGGATTTGGATATCTTTAGGATAGAGAGGCTGTGGAAGGACTCGAAGAACGGGACACGCTTTGCTTACGGTCATCATTACTTAAGGCCCCACGAGACTTACCATGAACCAACGAGAAAGTGAGTCTTACATTATAAACGAAACTCGTTTGCCGATTTCAAAACGTTTCTTCCTTAGATTCTATTCGAACGAGGTGATGCGAGTGCCCCTTTACGAGGCCGTCCCCGTAGAACTGATCATCTCGCACTGTTGGGTGATGGATTTCAACACCTACTGCAAGGGAAGACCCATAGGCGCTCCAGAAGAGCACATCTACATTTGCGAATATCGCGTTGACAAGGGCGCAAGATTATTCAGCAAAGTTTCCAAATCGAAATTCCCGATCTGCACGAAGACGTACGCCTTCGAACGTTTCGATACGCGTCTGAAGGTAACAAGAACTTACACTCCCCACGATCTGGATCCGATGTACACCAAACAGCGTGGAAGAAAACCTCAAGAAGTTGAGGAAGTCAAAGAAACTGTGCCGGCAATTCCAGCAGCCGTTCACGTTCCAATCGTTAGGGTAAATATTATTTTATTTTCAAACACTCATTCTACATCCATTTAATCATTCGTTTCACATTTTTTTTTAGACTCCGACAGAACAAAAGGCTCGATTGAATGGAATCCTATTAAATTTGTTGAGCAAACTGCCAACTAAGCAATCCCTGGATGTGTCTTATTTACTCGAAGGTGGCAGGAGACGTGGAAAAAACAGACTTTAAAAAGGTAAAATTTGGGTGATAACTGCTGTAATATAAATAAGGAATAATTACTTAAAACATTTTGCTATAAGAATTAAACAAACAAATTAATCGTATTTACACGCGAACTCTCAAATGAAAGTTTTAATTTAAAAATTAAAAACCACAAATAATTTTTCGATCTAAACAAAAACAACTGTATTTTTTACTTACATCACTACTACTAATAAGAGCTAGTCATAGTTTTTGTTGTTAACTCTATTATTGCTAATTGGCCTACAATGTTTTTTTTTTAATTTTCAATGCATTTAATTTAATTTATAATCTATACTTGTATATAGCTGTTATCGAAATAACTTTCAGTTTTCTTACTTAATACACATTATTATTTTTTTTGTCTATTATTATTATTATTAAATAATTATTACTTATTGCGAGGGAAAATCAAACTTGGATTATATGTGTTTTTTTTAGTTACATCTTATATTTTTTTTTTATTCAATGTGAAAGCATGAGATGTTAATGTTATGTTATAATCTATGAATCTAGAATGATTTTTGTTTAATTTTTATTATTGTGTATGTACTATATTATTATTATTACGAGAACCGAAGCTAAATCTAAATCGTTCAGTATTTATGCCATATTTATTTTTATTTTATTTTGAAAATCCTTTTTTATTAATATTATTATTTCTATTTACATATACATATTAATAATAATAGTAATAATACACATGTGATGTTGTACATTATTTATTTAGAATGCGGTTTATTTAGCACAGACCAGTGAGTTTAATTGCACGATCCTTGCAAATTGTACAACATTATTATATTTTTCTCTTTTTACTTAGTATTTATATTTTTTTTATTTATTTTTCTTTACATTATATAATATTTAGGTTCACTTTGTACTACATGTATCTTTTTTGCCTGATTATATACTATGTAATATTATACAAATTGTTTTATCTCATTTTTTTAGATATTCAAATATCTAATTTAAATAGGTATATTAATATATATATATATATTATATATATATAGTTTTATGAATCAATAAAGAATGTTATATTTTTTGAAATTACTACTTTCATCTACTTTATTTCAATCCTCTTGCAGATTTTGGGATTCTTGCAAAACGTTGGTGGATTAATGCTGTAGTTCATCATCAGCATATATTGTCATTTTATATTTACATTTTATGCATTCATAATCTCTCATATATTCTAGCACTTTCATCGAAGCTGTTTTTACAATTAAACCTGTAAGTTTTAAAGTTTATTAATTAATCAAAATCTTATGGATTAAATTGTACCAGACAACTGTAAGAAACTCCCAAAATCTGTGGGTTTTGGTAAATCAGTCCTGTGCACTTCTGGGCATGTTGGTAACCCAAATACTCTTGCATGCACATTTTTCTTTAAAGTATAGATTTTATTGTCGGTTTGAGTGATCAATGCCTCTTGTGCACTGATAATCAAGTTATCACATGCTTGTAAACCTTCTTCTGGGCTTCCAAGTATGGAATTGGCTAACTTTGGATCTGCATCGCAGATCTCTACAAACCTTTATATTTAATGATTAACAGTGAAAAAAAATGTGGATTCTTTACTACTCACATTAAAGCAAATCCAAAGTGTTTCGTACTATCCACATCTTCCAGTACTTTCATTAACTTTTCCTTATGTTTATTTGGGAGGTACGCGATCACAATTGTCATTACTATCAGTACAATTGACATTTTAATGATTGTTGTTCGGATATTTTCGAGTCACTTGTTTGTACTATATATATATAGTTTTATGAATCAATGAAGAATGCTATATTTTTTGAAATTACTACTTTCATCTACTTTATTTCAATCCTCTTTAATTGTTATTGTGAAAACGTTCATCATCATTTGCTTTGATATTTTCAGACGTGTATCTTTCACAATCCTGAAAATGTATACGTTGTTTCGTTGCATATATTAGACTTTCAGTAACTTCGGCATTTGCATTCCAACTCGGAATATCTTCTCTGCGGAAAGACTTTCGGATCTTGCCTCCATCTACACTGCCGAGCGGTATGCCATTCATGGAGCGAACCCACGACATCCAAATCGATAGCCAGGAATGTGACGAACATTAAGACCAATCACTGGGTGGTACTAATCAGGACACAGTTCAGCAGGATGGAACGGGCTGGGTTCTCTGTGATTTTATGCTGGCTTCCAGGTCACCAGGGTATCAGTGGAAACGAGAGTGCGGATGATTTGACGACGGATGGACACGCTGAGGTACTTACAGGGCCCAATCGCTGTTGGAATGGCAGAGGATATATGAAGCGGAATGTAGATATAAAGGCACATCTTACTTCAATTTCAGAAGAGAATTCAGTAGACGTCCGTGGTACGAGAAGATGGGTTTCAGGAGTAAAGCGGACATTGCCAAGCTTAGCCGTCTGCGGTCCGGACATACTTGGACATGCACCGGAGCATTTGGCCAGAATCGGGTGGCAGGATTCGGACAGATGTAGTTGCGGGTCAGTGGTGAATGCAATAGTGAGGCATCAGGGGTTCTTCATGAGCAATTGCTGCATAACTGAATTCCCATGCTCACGTCCATACGGTGTCTCATCCAATCCGAGGACGTTGGCGTCTACAAAGCAATTCTTGAGTTTATTAAAACATCTAATGCCTCCATATGATTTAAATTTGTTAACATTTCCAATTTACATCCTTGGTTTCAAATGTTTTTATTAAAACATCTAATGCCTCCATATGATTTAAATTTGTTAACATTTCCAATTTACATCCTTGGTTTCAAATGTTTTTATTCATATATGAAGTGGTTTACATGTTTGAATTTTACATAGTATTCATACTGCTTAAGCCTAAGCTCTTTCAGCATGCAGTTTAAGGGTTAGATTTGATGAGTATATAAAAAAAAAGTAACATTGTAGGATAGAAGCACATTGTAGAGTAAAAACAGAACATTCTTGAAATCAGGAAGAGATTTAGAAAACATTAAGATTACACATTTTAAAGGACACCTAATACACATTTATATACACATAAGAAATATAAATAAGAAAGAAATTGGAATATGGAATATCACAGAAAGAATGGCTAATGTTTTCAGTAAGATCATTGAAAATGGGAACTAGTTTAGCTGGAGGGAATGGCATTTTAATTTTTGGTTTTAGCCTGAGACAGTACTGGGAGGAAGTTTGAATAAGAAAGTGTGTGATGATTGTGTATTTGAATTCTGAGAGCTAGTTTTCCTTGGAGTGTATTTATGAAGTCTGTAATGCTGGGGAAGGGAACAAGGTCGTAGAGTTGAGCAGAGGGATATTTGTAGTGTAACTTTAGAATTTTTCGTATTATTTTCCTTTCAAATTGAAAAGTCTTTTCAAAAGTTGAGGTGTAATGAGAGTGTGAGTTACTATGGTGATTACTGGACGGATGTATGTTTTGTATATGTGTAGTAGTGTGTTAGAAGAGCATCCTCCCAGTCTGGATCTGAAGCAGGCTGTAAGGTTGAAGCGGAAATTAACTGATTTGAGAATGTTTGCAATTTGGGTGCTTTGGTTGAGAGTCCGATGAAGCAGGACGCCGAGATACCTAGTGGCGTCAGATTCCTCGATGTCGACACTCCAAAGGTTGATCCCCAGTCTGACGTCTTGAAATCATCTGCTGCATAAGGTATGCCGGAAACCAATAAGCTGAGATTTAGTAGGGTTTGGCTTTATTCTCCACCTTCTCATCCATGACTCCAGTCTGCAGCAGGCCTCCTGAAGGGATTAGCAGTGGCAGGGATCCGGTGTGAAGACCAAATGACCGTATCATCGGCATACTGTTGTAATTGAGTGCTATCATCATCAGGTGTGGGAATGTCAGCACAGTATATATTGAAGAGTGTCGGAGAGAGGATTGCGCCTTGAAGGACCCCGCGGCACTTCGGCACTTCTTCTCTTGAGGTAGCTCTGATTTACATCCTTCCGAGGTCTCTCCAAGAACCTATGTACTCAACCGCTGTGACCCCGGTTCGAAATACGTTATATTTTTATGTTCGACTCGTAACCTTTCTTGTTTTTATGTATATCTTTCATTGAAGTTAATTTAAGTTAGAAGTTGTTTATTTTAATTAATTGGGCTGAAGAAGGAAGTTATGGTTTTATTGGAAGAAGCTGTTTACTTTAATTATTTGGGCGGAAGAAGAAATCCGAAGAATAAAGTATTACTTTGGTTTTTGTGCTTTGACTGAACAGACAGTGGCTGGCTTGTTGGCGCGCAATGCAGAAGCCAAATGAAGAAGTGGGAAGGAAGAAAAAAAAATAAAGAATATTGTGATTAAAAAAATATATTTAGTATACAAACAAAACAAAGAGTAACATCGAATAACCAAAATTATAAACTATTTTTTTTTATAATTATAATAACTTTCAAGAATATGTATTTGATAGGGCTTCGGATATATCGCTGGACGAAATAATACTGTCGCTTACGAGAACAATTTTCGCTCCCAAAAGGTTTTCCAGCAAATTGCACGCGGCAACTTCTGAATAAGTTACACCACCGATAACTAGGATAATCAGAGACTTGTTGAGCAGAGGATACAAATTGTTGTGTTCCACGTGAACCGGGCCCAGAGGGCTCAATTTACTCTTGACTTCTTCAATGGGCGTCGAGCAGAAAAGCATCGATGCGATTTGAGTGACCAACGGTACGTAATTCCCTCCGAAGACGTAACTGAAACAGTTCGGGGTCTTCAAGTTGACCTTTTCTGGATCGCTCGGAATCAGTTTCAGTTTATTGGCGTTCGTGTAAAAGGCATTCGTGAGTGTTTTACGCAGTTTACTCGAAAGACTGGCTATTGTCAAGGACATGCTTTCTTCTATGAACTTCGCCTTCACCAAATTATCGTGCAGACCTAATTGATCCGCTTGGAATCCGAATTTCTCCATGTAACTCAACATGAATTTCTTGTAATCACTTTCCGCTATCCCTTGTGTGATTCCAATTAGACACATCAGAGCTAATACGGATTTTGGGTCTGCTGATGTTTCCAGCTGTTGCATCAAGAACTGGAAATGTGTGCTCTTGCTCTTGTTCTGCATTATACCTCTTTCAACCTCAACTTGCTTATTGAACCTATCCAAGAAGTTACTCACTATGGTTTCGGCTGCATTCAGATGAGTTGCAACAAGTTTCTTCCTTTCGTTGATCTCCTTCAGTTGTGTCCTAACATATTCTTTCATCTCCTCCAAAGCCATGCTTTTGGAGTACTCACCCTCATTCCTCAACTTCTTAGTTTGTGCACTCAATATTGCTGTCACCTCAATGAAGTGCTTATACTTAATATCATCATACACTTTATCACTTGAACCATCCAACGTGAATTTCTCAAACTGTTTGGACTTTTCCACATCCTTGCATTCACATTGACCTGCTTTAATATCATACACTTCTTTGAGCATAGCCGAGTATGTTCCTGGTGTTAATAAGGCACTAGGATAATCTAGAGACCTATCACATATCACCAAACCACCAAAATCTGATTTACTCTCATTATGTTTATAATGATCTTGGAATTGTTTCATCACAATACTGCTCTTCTCTCCTACAGACATCATAAATTTCGGTTTCCCAAAAACCATGTTCAAGTGAAATATAGACCTGGCATACTGCATGATTAAAGTGAGATCATCATTTAGGAAGATCTGCTTGTACATATTGGGAATTTCCAAGCTCAAGATGCCAGCATCTATTGAAATTGGATACCACTGCATGGAATGCAATTGGATTATTTCGAATAAACCCAATCTTTCCAATATTGTGTCATATACATGGAGCTTTTGTGGAATGCACACTACATGGTATTTGTCTTTGGGAGCATTATCCGGATCCAATTGGGACCTTACCAAATTGATTACTTTAGAAAAGGTCTTATAGTTGGTGTAGATTAAGTAGACTTGTTTGTTTGGTCTATTGGTTGCAATTGAATCCAGGGTGAATATCTGCTTAATCTCATTTTCCCTGCAACCAAAATCGATAAGATAGCTTTGTGAGCGGCAGTATTGTTCTTACCTAAGCCAAGTAACTCCACAAATCCTTTGCAAGGGAGGAATGATTTCCTTTTGTAAAGTTAGATCTTTATCTCCAGCAATGCTTTCAAATATCTTAGATAACATCACTTTGCTTATCTCCGACAAAGAGAAACATTTCTTCGTTAGAACGTCCATCTCTTATGAATATTAGAGTTTAAACTTTTTGTTGATTAATACTGTAGAAGCTCATGATTTCCTATTCGCTCGGCTGAACCTAAAAATACTTCGGATTCCATCGACTCGTTGCCAAAGTACAAACAACTGACCCGAAAATATCCGAACAACAATCATTAAAAGGTCAATTGTACTGCTACTATGGTTGCCAATATTCTTGTGATTAAAAGCATAGTAAACAATAACACATGTGTACGGTATACTGACAATTATGATCGCGTACCTACTAAATAAACATAAGGAAAAGTTAATGAAAATACTGGAAGATTTGGATAGTACGAAACACTTTGGATTTGCTTTAATGTGAGTAGTAAAGAATCTACTTTTTTTTTTTCACTGTTAATCTTTAAATATAAAGGTTTGTAGAGATCTGCGATGCAGATCCAAAGTTGGCCAATTCCATACTTGGAAGCCCAGAAGAAGGTTTACAAACATGTGATAACTTGATTATCAGTGCACAAGAGGCATTGATCACTCAAACTGACAATAAAATCTACACTTTAAAGAAAAATGTACATGCAAGAGTATTTGGGTTACCAACATGCCCAGAAGTGCACAGGACTGATTTACCAAAACCCACAGATTTGGGGAGTTTCTTACAGTTGTCTGGTACAATTTAATTTAATCCATAAGATTTTGATTAATTACTAAACTTGAAAACTTACAGGTTTAATTGTAAAAACAGCTTCAATGAAAGTGCTAGAATACAGGAGAGATTATGAGTGCATAAAATGTAAATATAAAATGACAATATATGCTGATCATGATATGAACTACAGCATTAATCCACCAACGTTTTGCAAGAATCCAGAAATCTGCAAGGGAATCAAGTTCAAAGTGGTCAGTACATTGGATTCAACTCACTGCAAAGATTACCAAGAGATCAAGATGCAGGAGGAGGGGAAAACGGTTTCCAATCACATGTGGTTGATATTGGAGAATGATTTGGTGGACGTTTGCAAACCAGGATCTACTGTAACTGTTTGGTAGTTTGCATGTGTAAAATAATCTTGTTTAAATTAAATTATTTTTATTTGTTTCTAGTGGAATTGTCAGGAATAGACTCAAGAAAACTCACGTGGCTGGACGTCCACTTTTAATTGAGATGACTTTACTGGTGAATCATTTGCAGGTGAACAATGATGTGGGACCTTCAACTGTGTCCACTATAGAACGTAACCAGCAGTTTGAGTCGTTCTGGTACAAATACAGATTGTATCCTTTGTATGGGAGGGATCTTATATTAAGATCGTTTTGTCCTCAGGTATTACAACTTTAATCCTTTTTTTTATGGTTTATGATGATAGATTTATTTATAGATTTACGGCATGTATATGGCTAAATTGGCTGTGGTTATTGTCTTGGCTGGTGGAAGTACTTTTCACGAAGAAGGCGATACTAACGTGAGGACGAGGACGGAACCGCATTTGCTTTTGGTTGGAGATCCAGGAACTGGAAAATCGGAGCTGCTCAGATTTGCTAGCACTATTATACCTAGGTCGGTTCGTGTAACTGGAATCACCTCTACTTCGGCCGGATTAACTGCAGCTGCTGTTCATGTATAGTTACAATAAATCTAATTTTTTTTACAAGTCTTCAATGTGGTTTTTCTTTAGGAAAACGGTGATTGGCATTTGGAAGCGGGAGCTTTGGTCCTTGCTGATGGCGGCATTTGCTGCATCGACGAGTTCAACTCCATGAAAGAACACGATAGGAATAGCTTATTAGAAGCTATGGAACAACAGACAGTTAGCGTTGCAAAGGTGATTGATCTACTTAGCTTTTTCTCTCCGTTTCATTGACTATAGTTGTCTAGGCAAGTATTGTCACGAAATTGAATACACGTTGCTCAATTTTGGCTGCGATGAATCACAAGAATTCTTCGGATAATCTCACGGAGTCGCTCGGATTATCGAGTCCTCTGATCAGTCGCTTCGATCTAATCTTAACTGTCATGGACAAGAGGGACGACGATTGGGATGAGCGTGTAGCCGATTACATCTTGAACGGATGCAAGTATAGATCCAAGTTTTTCGAGGACAAGAACAACAAGTGGTCTTTAGAGATGTTACAGGTGATTCACTGAAACACCAAATTAATTTCATTCGATAATGCGTTTATTTTAAGGCATACTTTTCGCTAATTAAAAGCGTAAATCCTAAATTAAGCGATGCGGCGAATACAGTTTTGGCTGCCTATTACCAATTGCAAAGGAACAATTCAATAAGTTCCAAATCCAGGACAACCATTCGCTTATTAGACAGTCTCGTCCGGTAAAAACTTACTTAAACTATCAATAAATCACAATAATCGGTATTCATTCAACAGATTGTCGCAAGCACACGCCAGATTATTGCAACACAAGACTGTGCTCATAATGGATGCTGTCGTGGTTATATCATTGATTGAATACGGAATTGGCAAGGATGAAAACAGCATGGGTTTGGATACTGAATATTTTAAAGATTATCCCGTTGATCCCACAGAATCCTACAACAAAATCTGCGAAACTATATTAAGCAAATTGAATTTGCTTGGAATCCAAGACGATGGAGACAATTGCGACGCGTTTCCTCCTCATGTTGATCATAAAATGTCCTTGAAAAGAAAATCAGATTGTTTCAACAACGATGAAAGATCGTCCACGAAATTGAAATGTAATAGTAAATCAGTGGAAACTGAAACTTCGGTAGCTCTTAAAAAAACTACTGTAATAAAATCAGATCAAAAGAAGGAATCGCTTAAAAACAGTTATGAAAAGCATGAAAGTGTATCAGACAATTCCGTAAAGACGATATTAGAACAATCCAAGTTTCAAGTCAGGAAACGACCATTGGACAAGGTTAAATCCTTTGCGAGTTGCAGCAGTTTTTCGAGCGAATCGATTTTTGATAGCGAAGAACATGAAGTCGATTTTGATTTATAGATTTGGATTGGGGAAGATTCATGTAATTAAATCAAATCAATTCGGATCCAGAACGAAAAAATATTGATTGTTTTATTAACTTACACTTTATTATTATTATTTGTATTATTATTATTATTTTCGCTTAAGTTAAAGAATTGTACAGTTTATTTTATAAATAAAATTTAAATTAGGTTTTCATATATATATATACTTTTTTTTTTAATTTTAATTCTGACGTTGTTTCGCAGATCTGGGAGAAATTAATTACGAAATGGGAGATGCAAGGGAGGGAAATTCTCATTTTCCTTTCTGTCCTTGCACAATTAATGTGAATGTATTTATGTATATATCATATATATATATATACAATGTATATGTAATATATATATATGGTTATTAATTCTTATGAAATGCTTGTCAGTTGATTAATATTATCTCAGGCGACGCTCTTGTCTCTATTTAGAAAAGTCCGGAATATGGACATACTCCAACTGCTATATATTTGTACCGGATGAATAGAATTGAAAGTTTGTGGATGGTCCGAAATTGACTGGGGTTTTTGGGCTGGCGCACGCATAATAAAACTCGTCTGATTGCAGCTGAGTTCGATTCATGTTAGGTTCGGATGCGCTGCGATGGATCTTCGGAAGACTTCGCAGCATCAGATCCAACGAGGATTGGATGTTGCAGAACTCTGGCCGTTCCTCCTGGTCGAATTGAATGCTCTTCTCCACGAGCAACTTCAGCGGTTTCAGAGTGTCCGAACGCAACCGCGTCAGGTCAGGCTTCAGAATCCCTTTGCCCACCAGATACAGAATCTGAGTCTTGTCTTTCATGTGAGAGTAAGGCAGCTGCATCGTGAGCATCTCGAACATCACGATGCCGAAAGCGTAAACGTCCGATTTAAAACTATAGGGATTATCGTCCTTCATTCGAGTGATTTCTGGGGCCATCCACAGGATCGACCCGGATGGATAACGCACCATCTGGGTGTCGTCGGAGTATCTTTTCTTGGCCGTGGCTAGGCCGAAGTCACCAATTTTAACGGTAAGATCTTCGTGCAAGAAGATGTTATTGGATTTGAGATCCCTGTGTATAATGTTTTTTGCGTGCAGATAGTCCATGCCTTGAGCGATCTGACGTCCGATCTCGATCAGAGTGAACAGCTCGAATTTGGATTCGAAGACGTGCAGATGCCTATAAAGGCTGTTCCCGTCACACCATTGGGTCACGATGGCCAACTTGGGTTTGCTCACGCATCCCATGAACAGCAGGATGTTCACGTGTCTCGTCTTCCTTAGGACCATCACCTCGTTCTTGAACGCTTCCAGTTGAGCCAAGGTCGGGATCTTCACCTTCAACGTCTTGACGGCGACGGAACCGTGCCAGCGGCCTCTGTACACCGTTCCGAAGCTTCCGGTGCCCACCATCTCTCCTATCTTGATCTCGTCGGCAGGTATCTCCCAGTCTTCTATACTTTCTCTAGGCGCTAGTAACGGTTTACTTTCATCGGCTGATTTAGCTCTAGGCCTTCGTGGCTGCTGCGAACTAGTCGGAGAAGCCTGCGTGCTTTTACTGTGCTGCGAATCTTCCGGTGGAGTGTTCAAGGATAACGTATGAGGACATTCTTCGTTTGCGTTACGAACGCTGTTCATGCACACGTTCGGTGCCGAACTCGACCGATCGTGCTGTCCTAGTGTGCCGGGATGTTTCTGAGGCATATCGTAATTAGAAGCCAACAGAGCCTTGTAATAAGCGTCTGCCACTCGCACCTGTACAGAAACAATACACAATTGTACAAGATTAAAAACATACAATCCGTGAATACAAGCATACCTGATGACACAATGAAGGAATCCTACTGGCACAGCGCTGGTGGAATTTATAGCCACAGGTGCGACAAAGGAATCCTTGAAATAACAATTTATGACAGACTTCACAAAAGACAAGAGAAAAGAATGTCTTGCGAACAAAGTTATGGGAAATGCTTGTTGGCACTGGGAAATTCTCCATCAGTTTCACTGTGATCTCATCACATTCCAAGGTACTTATGTCTATATCCCAATTGATTTGAACATCAGTATCTTCCAGGTAAGCACAACACGTTTTATAAAATAGATTTCGCAGTTTCATTGCTTTTGCCAGAGCCTCCTTCAAGGATTGACCTTCACGTACTTGTACACTAGTCCTCTGTTGATTTGGTAGATGCGCCCTTATGAATTTATATCTCTGTGTCTGCTGCGGATTCTGTCTCATCGTACCTTCATCAGATTCGTTCCTCAAATCCGATTCGCTTTCGGGACTCTCACGACCGTTGCTGACGTGCAGACGTAGAAAATCCTCCTGGCTCTCGAGTTCGTGCAGCTTCGTCGTGAGCTCTTCATATTCTTTCACGTACATCGGCGGAGGATTCGGGAAATCCGCGAATTTCGCGTTCAATGCATCGATATTATTTCGAGTTAAGGTGATCACGCTCCTTATGTTCCTCAGTTCTTGTTGGATGTTGTAATCATCGGTCTCGTTCGACATCCTTATCACATTTGCTTAAATATTACAGGTCAAACAAAAAAAACCACTCAAAAGACAAATAACTATTGTTTGTTTTATTGTTGATGTTTCCGAACCTATTTACACTGACTTACACTGCCCGTCTCTGCAGAGACACCGGCCATTGCACCTTCCTGTCACTATGACGTCTAATAGCTACCAACATAACTTCAAACTGACTTCTTTAGAATCTTAACCGCGATTTACACTTAAATCCAAAACTATAGCGAAACATTGAACATCTCAACAACATTAATACTTTTCTACTAATTTTTCATCCACCAAACATCGCTAAATCTGTATTAAACCTTCCACTGTCACAGGTAAACTTTTTATTTCTTCACTTAAACAGCTGATATTCTGACAACACACATAACCTTGCAATTTAAAATTAGATATAGATTTAAGAATACTATAAAATTGAATGTATTTATTATTGTACTAAATCACATTTGAATCATTGTTTCTTTCCATTGATCTTGCTTATTTTGCTTCTACTGACATTATCAAAGAAAAGTAAACCGGCTGCCCTCTCAATACTTTCTGGAGGTACCTAAACAAAAAAAAATACAACAATATTATTATAATATTAAGATGAAAATACTAAAAGCAATTATACTTGAAAACTGGTCAAAGGAACTTCATTATCGATAACTTGATTAGGCATCACAAAAGATTCCATTTCTAAATGTCCATCTGAAGTTTCCATCACAAGCACTTTGAAGAAATGTGTAGGTACAGCAACATTCTTTTCACCAATAACTTCATACCTTACATACTTTTTACCATCACCTTCCTTCCTGCAGATAATCAAATATCAATAATTATTGAACTCATACTGAACTGCAGCATACAAACTTAGGTAGATATAATGGTCCAGTGCAGCAGTAAACATTTGGGTAAGTATTCGTCAACTTCCTAACATATCTCTCTAGCCGGTTCCATGAGTCCCTATTGAAGCCCACACCCACCTGTGGTGCCATATTTGACAAATAGAATGTCTGGTCACAGTGCTTCTGATGACCCTTGTGATTACCAGCTGCTGCCAAATGCCCTCTATCATAGCCAGACCTCTTATAATCTGAATTCTCAGATCTGAAAATGTTTCCACATTAAAAATCACGTTAGAAATTTCAAACTGTATTATTTACCTGAAATAAGAATGTATGCTTTCATCTGGCTTAAAATCACAAAGTGCTCTATCCACTCCATCATTCTTCTTCGTGTTCTCTGCTGTCAGATGCTCAAAGACCCAGTGAGCCACCCTCGTCTTCCTGTCATAACTCAATACGAAATCATCAAATGACCTCACATGGTCCATACCAGGAAACCCATATTTCATGATCTGGGATATTCTTGAAGCATTGCTCGAAGTCGTTTGGGGCGATGTCGTGAATGGAACTGCTGCAGAGACGGTCCCGAAAATTGGAAGGCATGGTTTACAAACAATACTGTTATTGTTTTTCTCGTAGTAACTTCCAGCTAAAAAGCTGCCAATACCCACAGTGCTCAGCAGCGAGTATTTCAGTAACCTCTTTGTGGCCATATTTTTTTTAGGTTAGCACGTGAAATTACGTAAACAAAAATAATACCAAAAAAAAATCTATTTTTAATCATTTCTATAATATTATAGATAACAATGGAAGACAGACAGAGCATTATAGAGCAGAGACGGATTCAGCGTAAAAAGAAGCGCGACTTGAAGAAGTTACACAAGGCGGAGGAGATTCAAATAATCGAGGCTAAGAGGAATCAATGCGTCCCTTTGATCTCCAAAGAGGAGTACGAGAAGTACGCAAATCCTGGAGCCGGAAGACCGAGCCGTCCCTTCTCTGCGAACTTAATCGAGATCTCGCAGAAACCGCGTAACAATCTGATTTTGCCGCAACCTGAGCAAAAACCGAACAAAAAATATTCGGGGAATCCGCTGGACTCTTCGCAACCGGAAAGATCTACCGGTAAACACAGAGAAGAACCTAAACCTAAAAAGTTGACCAGGTTGAAAAAAGACGTAAAGGTATTTCATATAAATTATAATAATGTTTCTGAATATTGCAATTAATTTGAAACAAATTTTGTAGGCTACTCAAGAAACATCTGATATATGCGTAAAATACTGCGAAAATTTAGTCAATAACGATGTTGATTTACTGGCAGCGAAATTAATAGCGGAGATTGTAGAGTTACAAGAAAAGTTGTACAAAAAAGATCATTTGAAAGGGCAGAGACAGAGGAAATACGTGGTCGGCTTTAACCAAGTGATGAAGTATTTGACTATAAACAAATTGAAAGCTTTAATTATTGCCGTCGACGTGAAAGTGTTGAAAGAAGGTGGTAAGGAAAGTTAATCGTTTTATCTTAATTGTATCATTGATAGTATGAGTTTGTTGCAGATATGTTGCATGAAACTATTCTGAAATGCGTCCGACTAGCGAAAACCAACAATATTCCTTATATATTCGCACTGAAACGACGCAAAATTGGTTTGATCACCATGAAATTCCTACCTGTGAGTTGCTTTGGTGTACTGAACTTCCAAGGAGCAAATGTAACTTTCTTTTTATACACAAAAATATTGAATTAAATCTTTAATCAATTTGTAATTTACAGGAAAGTTTTAATATTCTAATAGCGGAGAGTAAAAAGATAAATCCTCGTCTAGATATCGACGAAGAAGACAATAACATTGCTTCTGCAATCAGACAAATCTCTGGTAAAATTCTGACCGATTCTCAATGATGGGGAAATATAAAGATATTAGATTTTCATTGTAAGATAAATATCTGTATATATTTATTGTGACGATTTTTGTATATATATATATATCTATATAATAAATATTATTTACATTTATATATTAAAAATATATATTAATAACCTATTGGACGTAAAAAAAGAAGTTACAAAAAAACAAACATAAAGTGTATAAGTTACTTAAAGCATAATTACATTACAACATGTAATTAGATACAGATCTAGTTAAATAGCAGAGTAAAGATATAATGGCGAAATAGAGTTATCTTAACAAACAGAACCGATACTCTCTTTCGGATCAAAACAAACGTATTCAATTATTTGAATTACTGATTTACATAGTAAAAAATATATTGCATTAGCACCAGTAGTTCTCCTTTTGCTCATTAACTTTGTTTTAGTAATAATAATAATGTTAGTAATTAAAATAATTAGATAATTAGATTTTATCCGCAACTATTGTGATGGACAGTTTCCTCTCTGGCCAAGAAAATGTTTTCGGTAATGAAAGGGCCTCAGGAGATCCTAAGACCTATGGAGATCCTTTGATTTAAGAATATTGTCGAATATTGGTTATGCAATTGTAAATTACCTGGAATGTAACAGCCATGTCTTGAGCTAAGTCATCGGGAATGAGGACTTGCAGCCAGGATCCTTGAGCGACGAACGGATGTTCCATGTCCACCAAAGTCCCGGTCACAGAATTCGCCACCAAAGTTATAGCGGTCTCCCCCAGCACAGATTTGAACGTAAAGTGTCTTCCGTGCTTAACGCGTCCTCTGCACAAACGTACACAATTAACAGAATTAAATATAAGAAGTGAACGGTGAATCCATACCGAATGGCCAGCGGTAATAAACTGCCAGCTTCCAAATTGAAAACCAGATGAATACCATCCAGTTTCCGGACGTGCAGGAGCTCCGCGGATTCCAGCATTCCCGAGGATTCGCGAACGTCGTCCAGTTTATTGAATCCGTCCGCGCCTTGCAGTCCCTTCTGCAGCGTGTTCTTTATTTGTTCAGTCTCTTCGTCTGTCAGTCTAGATACTCCGTCCACGAACTTCCTGTCCCTCGCCTCGTGATCCGTCCACGAGCATCTCGCGCTCACGCCGCTCAGATTTGAACCTTCCGTCTCGAAGCCGCGCTCCAATTCCTCGTGAGCCGACGGATCGTATTCGAAGATGCTCTCTCCTCTACGCATATCCGTTACGTGCCAAGGACCCCCGGATCTGGACAAAGCGAGAAAATTACATTTGCTGCTAAAAACTAATATCAAGTATTCACTACGTACGCAGGCAAATTGCTCAGCATATTAAGAACTCCGCTTCCGTTCCACTGTTGCGCCGCTCTCAGCTCGTCCGCACAGACTCCCACAATCTGAATGAAATCGACGTTCCCGAACGGTGTCTGCGCGGAGCTCAATTGTATATCGGAAGTCATCAGCATATGCTGTATTCGGGACTCGCTATTGTCTAAAGCGCAATGCCAAGAGACGTGATCTCCTGTGCACAACGTATTACCTGTATATATAAACAAAAAATTAGTAATCAAAACATTCTTTCCATTCAAATTTACCTGAATGAAAGACGTATTTTGCTAAGGATTGCATGAGATTTGCAGGCCAAGTTGGTGGTGAAGTTTCACCAGGTTCCCTCTTCAATCTGAAAGTCAGCTCAAAGCCAAACCCTGACAACCCTTCAGGACCAGTCACATCATGCACCCTTCCATCACCATGCAGATCAGATAATCCAAAGCTGTAAGAAATCACGTAACATTTAAACCTGTTGATTTTCATTTCACATTTATGTTCGCATTACCTGATGTAATGCCAATGTGGAGGGATGTTCTCATGGGCATTTCCTGGATGTGCGTACATGGATATATAATCCAGGGGATCCGGTCCACCCAGCCTGCCAGAACAAAGAAAACGCAATTTAGATTTGGAGAAATCTAAAAATAGTCTACAGATCTATTTATAGCGCAGACAAGAGCCATAAATCACAGTTCCCCCAACTGGAAAGTGTCAGGCATTTAAATGTCCAGGAAATGGATTGCTGAGGGGTGCATCCATAAATAGATGTAAAGGATATAAAACTTCCTTCCCAAGAATATTTATAGAATATTTGTGAATTATTATTGAACACAAGTATTTACCAATATTTCAAGAGTGCTGTAACTTGCAGAGGGTTCACCTGGTCTGGGTAGATCTTCCTGCACAAGGTGTACAGGGCTTCCAGACCTGGAGGTGTAGGTGGTAGCATGTTGATGGGGGGTCCTTGAGGTAAAGCTCCAGCTTCATCCATTGTGTTCTCCTCCAAAATCAAGAGAAAGAAAATACAAAACTTGGATTCAAACTGAAGCAGAACTTCCTATATACAGAAACACTTCTGCAACTCTGTTTCACTGTTAAACTAAATTAACACACGAAAAAAAAAACAATAGAAAATAAATAAACGAAGCAACAAAACAAAACGACACAAGCAAACTGAACTGAACTGCGAACAAGATTGGAATGCGAAGAATGTGCTATGGAATTCCAGCCTGAAGTTGTCCCGCAAACCATAGGGAATTTTTCTTTGGCAACCAATTCGATTCTTCGCGTTGGTTACCTTGAGTATTCCCAAAACAATAAAGAAGATGTCAAACTCTGCAATAATCAAATGTTATTTGTTTTGGAAACGGTTTAAATAATTGTTGACTAATTGATTAAGTTAATTATATAACGAGTGTTAAGTGTGCGAGAGCTGTGATCCGACCTGAACATTTCATGTTTTTCCAAGAAAATCACTGTTTATTTACAATTCATTATTGATTATTCTCTTATTGTTTCTCATCTGCAATTAGAATAAGATGTTAGATTCTTCACCTGAAGATGAAGATTTTCCTGGAAGACTGTTACATCAGGTAAATAAATTAAATTTCTTAATATCGCAAAAAAAAAATCCTATATAATACATCTTTACATCAATAATATGAGACAAAATGATTGATTGTTTTTTTTTTAAATTTATTTTCAGGCAGCTTTATGGGATAACACCGAGTTATTAGAGGATCTTTTGGCTGGTGGACAGCAGTCCTTCATCAACTCTCAAGACAGTTGGGGTAGAACACCTTTGCATGCTGCGGCAATCTCAGATAATTCTAGGTGCATACAGATCCTTTTGAATACGGGAGCAGATCCCAATGTGAAATGTGGTTCTCGTGGAGAAAACAAGGTAAATACCAAATTTTCCTGATCATTGTGGAAATTGTTAGTTTATCATTATCTCTATATTTATATTTTTTCTTTCAATTTTTAATTTATTGTTTTGCTTCTCATTTTTAAAAACAGTGCTTGTTATTATTTTTAGTTGTAGTTGCAAGTGGGAGATGGATTTAGTTAATTGAGTAAATAATGTGAGTAAAAACTATTATTAGAGAACACGTATATCCTGTATGTTAGCATAATGTATTTTGGTATTGTGCAGTAATTTAGTATGATTTAAATGTTTTTTTTTTCTTCTTTCTTTTCGTTTTTCAAGACTCCGCTGCATCTGAGTGCTGAATATGGGCACGTGAGTAATGTGAGAATTTTATTGCAACACGGTGCGAGCCTCCTGGAGCGCGACATCAATGGGATGACTCCTTCGGATCTTGCAGACAAGGCTGGTCATAACAATTGCATGACACTTCTTAAGGAAGCAGCTGGTAAGTAACGATTATTTGATTTTAAAATACATAGTACTGAAGTATTGTAGAATGTATAATCCTATTGGAATTGTTTAAAAAAATTGCATTTTATGCAACCATTGTATTTAAATCTGTTTGCTATTTAAATACAATGCGGCATTTCGATTGATTGATCTAATCTAATTCTAGATTCATGAATGATTTACAAAGCCTACTAACGTTTGAACAATATAAATATAGGTATTTTTCAATATTTACGTAAATCACTTGGAAGAATGAGTGAACAACAATGAAAATTGTAAATTCTAGTAGTTTCGAACTTTCATATTTTTAAACTAATCGTGTAGTTTATTAATATTATGACAATACAGTGGAATACGAGCTTAATCCGTTCCAAAATATCCGGATTTTTACTCGTATAGTGAAAAATAGTCAAAAAAATTTGAAGATGATGAAGCTGCGCGGGACTTCTCTTCTCATTCATTCATTTTGCTCGTTATGCGAGGTTCCACTGTGTTTACTTATAATTGACAAAAAATGTATCTGGTATAAATTGGTTTCTAACAGCAGTTTTGTGGTTTTGTTATTGTTAAATCAATTGGAAATCTCTCAATTTATTTATTTATTATTTCATAAATACAAGTCGATGATATAACAAATATTGCTGTTTAAATATTGCTCATGAAAAAAGCAGTAAAATTTATATAATTTATTTTTAGAAGCGAAAATCGGTTTAAAAAATAAAATGCAATTACTTAAGTGAAACGCAAAGTCCGTTTGTATTTATAAATGGAATATGTTTGTGCTCTTTTGTCGTCATTTTAGAAAAATAATAATTTACAACTAAAAACTTAAAGTTATTTTATCATATCTAATTTAGTTAAATATTTCCCAAATATAATATACAGTGGAACCTCGCTTAACGAGTTTAATCCGTTCCAAAATTTCCGGATTTTTACTCGTATAGTGAAACACGTTTTCCCATATAAACTAATGTAATGTTTCGATTTTTAATTATTTTGCTTTTAATATCTATGATTCGTTTTATTACTTGGCTTTTTATTTGGAGACATGCAAGTTATTACATTTTGCACAAAAAAAAATCACAAATAATATGTCTGAACATAAGTTTGGAAAACAACACTAAGATGCAACTAGAATGACCACTAACACCAGGAACTGTTTCCCAATTTACACAATGCGAGGTTCCACTGTATTTGTAATATTTAAATATCAATATTACCAAAAAAATGTGTTATCAAAAATGAAAATTATCATATGCAAAGGTCATTTTTATCTTTAATGGAATTTTAAAGTTTTCGTTAGAATTTTGCATAACTTATAAACAATATGTTTAGTTGAGATATTTCTCAGAACGCAATAAGTGTTTTTTAAATATTTAATTGTCATGTCTAATTATAAAATGTGATTTGTGAGATGAATTTTTTATAATTGCAATATTTTTCTTAAAACCTTGAACCATAATCATAACTATTTATTTAAATGTATAATTACATCTTGAAATTCTACAGATATTGCTCAAAACGCAAATAAGTAATATACACTTAACGAGTTTAATCCGTGAAATACACATAATATGTGTACACAAAAAATGATGTAGCAGGAGGACAATCCGGGACTTCTTTACTCGTTATGCGAAATGTCGTTCGTTAAACGAGGTTCCACTGTATATTAAATTTATTTAAAATCTATAATTAGTTGTGATAATACAAAGAACGTAAATAATTGTCTTGTTTGAATATAAAATTGGAATGTAAAATGCAAAGTCCATTTGAACATTGGCATACATTTGTTATTTATTTTTTTCGATGCTTTGGATTTTAGCGAGCGTTTATAAACTGCGTAACTGTATTTGCACTGAACAATGAAACGTAGGGTTTCACTCGAAATGTTTGTACATAGATACACTTATTTCTGTTATCGTAGTTTAATAATGAATAACGAAAATTTAAAAGCGTATAGATAAGTCGGAGAGTTCGGAGCAAAAATGAAACAAAAAAAAAATAAGCGCGTCATCGTGGGGGCAGCCAGTCCAGTCCGCGCCGCAATGTTATTTATTAAAATTAAATTAGATAAGTGCTATCAATTCAAAAGCGGCATTCAAACTGTGCATCAATATTCATACGACCATTGGGGAGTGCGGGAGCGCGCGAAGAGCCCACCTCCAACCATCATCATACCCATCCTCTTTTTCGATTTGATGTCGAAACAGCAGGCGGTCCTCGAAGACGGAGGGGCCCTTCTGAGCCAACGCCAATCCGTCGCCGTGGAGGACCGGCCGTGGATAGCGGAGCGGCCCAAAATCCGATCCAGGATGGCGCGGTGCATCTTCACGGCAATCCTGATGCTGGCCCTTCTCTACCTGATCGCATTGCTGCTCCAGAGGAAGTTCGATTACTTGCGCGAGACCACGAAACCGGGCAATTGAAGGATAGCATTTCGTGCATTTATCATTCGAACAGACCTACTGCGAACGCTTCCCCTCTCGCAATAGAGCATCAAGTGCGAAGTGAGTAAACAGTAGCGTTGGAGGTTCTTGTGAATCCATTAGTTATTGTTAATTATATTTTTTTTGCATTGGGCACAAGGAATAATGTGCGGAGAAAAAGATAGACGGAACCGCATAGATATGCAATCAACTTCGCCGCACGCTAGTTTTAATTTTTCCACCCCCCCTCGAGGCATTTCGGTTCTCGTGTATTGATTTTTCCCTCCGCTCTAGTGAAACTCACCCTTATTCAGGCAGCTTTTACGGCGCAGCACGCACGCAAAATATACATATTTTTTATAACCATCTACATTCAGCACCCCCCAAAAAAAAAACAAAACATTGATTACTCCCCCTCGTTGTTGTTGTTCTTGTAGTTATAGTTATACATATTGTAACATCCGTTTGTGCGTTTTGTGGAATGAAGAAGCAGAGAACGAAAACGACGGACGTTGCTTACGATGCATGCGATTATTTCACGGACGATGTAGTTTATGTGAATCTCGATCAAGGTAATTGAAAAATTATTGAATGCAAGTGGAGGATCGGATGGGGAAAGTCGGCCGACCACGAGGAATCATGGTTTGAATATTGCACTTATCGGCTCCGATAACGTTTGACCCAGACTCGAATACGCCTTACAATACAGACCATATTCACTTTCATCGTTTACCAGATTTCTGATAACATCCTCCGCCTGAGTATTCTCTCTGTTAAATAACCATTGTTATCTTCAATTGAAAGGACCTTCATGTGTTTGCTCGCTAATTTCCATCTCGCATTGTTGATTATTGCGCTTTTTGAAATCCATATTTTTCATGCACATCACGAGATAAACGCGCCGAGAACAATGTATTATGACGGTAAATCCGTAAAGTCCAGTTAACTTTGACGATGAATAATCTGACAATTAATTTATTTTGTCATATTTGTAAGTACGTTACTAATATTTGAATATCTCACTTAATAGTGACAACAAATATTAAGAATCGTTACTATCATCAAAATGATCAAAGAATTGAAAGAATAGTACAAAATATTTCTATTTGTGAAGACTGACAATAAAATGTTTGTCACGAAGACACCGAATATTATGCGTATCAATCTTTTTTGTTAATTACAATTTGTAATATGTTAATAAGTTTGTATATTGAAAATCGGAAAATGTTCCTAAATAAATAGAAAAGAATTATTAAAAGTATTAATTTTGAATAATTAATAAATCTTTTATGGTTTCTCTATTAACTATTTCAAATGTCAAATTTGCAAGTGCAATTGTAAAATTTTTAAAATAAATAAAATACAAATTTGATGAATATTGTAAAACCTTTAAACCTTTTCCTTTCTTTTTTATTATAAAAATATTCTAAATATAAATTTCGTTCCTATTAATGCATATCAATCAATTATAATATTTTATGTAAAAGATAAAGTCTTGACTCTTTGTAATGTTTAGCGTTTAGCAAGGTCTTTAGATAAGCGGGATTAACAAACTCTGCTTCTTATTATTTAATCAGACGTTGCGATTACGAATACTGTTGATAAATAAGTATTACTCTTTTTACGCAATTTAGCTTTGATTAATGAATGAGACTGATTAAATTAAGAAATGAAAAATTTACACTTTGTTTAAGTATTTCTTATGATGATATGTACATATTACATACAATTATATTATTGATTTTTTTTTATCACGTGCACTTTACATTGCAAACCTTTGATCATCATCACCTAAAAATAAACACGCGGTCAATGGCTGACCTTTCCTAAAAGGTTACAATAAAATGTTATCGATTTTCCGTACTGTTTGTTACCGGAAAACCGCTTTTCTTGCTTCAGGAATTTGAAATTAAAGGTCTTATCCCTGCAGACTTTAACTGTTTCAATTTGTTACAGATGCTCGTGAAAAAGCGAGATTGGATATCCATGCAGCACTGCGAGATGCTTGTAGCAAAGGGGATGCAAGTTCCGTCCATCATTTGGTCTCTTCGCTCCAGAAAGATGCGGAGCTCATCGTCAATATGGCTCCAACAGGATCAAACACGTTACTTTTTCTGTAAGATCGAAACTCTAAAGTGAGGAGTGTTATAAATCTTTCGTGGTTTTCAGTGCCTGTCAAAGCGGAAGTGAGGAAATCGTTAAGCTGCTAATCGAGAACGGTGCAGATGGTAGATACCACCCGGTGACCAAATACTCTCCTTTGTACATAGCCTGTTACCACGGTCATTTTGAAATCGTAGAAATCTTGCTGAACCGATTTCCAGAATTAGTACAAGTAATTTAACGCTATTTTCGCAATACCGTTGATGTACTTAATGTTCTTTGTCCTTCTCTGTCCAGCAACATACAGTAGAAAAGTGGCTTCCGATCCACGCCTGCTCCATTAACGAGCACTCGGCCACCTTGGAACTTCTGTTTAATTTCCCATATCCCACGCACGTTCTGCGGAAATTCAAGTAAGTTGTTATTCCTGGTTCGGATTTAGTTTTACATTTACAATTGATCTTCAGAGATGTAACGGATCAGTGGGAATATTATATGGCTTTCGATGTGAACGAAAGGGATGCGACTGGTCAGAACATCCTGTACGTGGCGTGTCTGCTGGGCAACAAGAAATTGCTGGATCTGATATTGAAATTCAAAGTAAAAGCCACGAGGATCAGAGTGGTGAGTGAGTTAATTGGATGCGTTAATTAATATCGTGTAAATAAGTAAAAGTGGCGCGGTATCTGGGTTACATGCATTCCGATTCCATTCTCTAAAATGATCGCTGTTTGAAAAACGAAATTCCTTCTATCTATCAGGATGAGGACGCAACGCCGAGCTCCGAGACCAGTTCTTTGGTTAGTCCGACGAAGAGGCGCATCTCCAATGGGATACAATCAATCCTCTCCAAGCTGAGCCTATCTCGTGAGAACTCCATGGAAAATGCACAGAACGTGAGTTTTACAAGCATTATCTTCTTTTTGTTATTATATTTTTTGTGTGTGTGTATTTTGTTGTTGATTTATTATATTTAGCTTGACGCTGATAACAGCTACATCTGCCCATTAAAAGTGGATATGTATTGTAACAATAACACGGAGACGGCGTTACACGCTGCCGTCAAAGGCAAACATTATGACATAGCTTTATCTTTGCTAAACGCAGGAGCTAATCCCAACATGATAATAAAGGCGTATTTAGATTACAACGAGGTAAAATTTCGCACGAATCCGTTATCCAAATATTAACATTCTGCTTGTTTTCGGAAGAGTATAAGCTGTAGTTCGGTGGAAGAGGATTTGAATTCTGGACAATCCACGGCCTTGATGGAGGCTTGCAAAAACCGCGATGTTCCTTTAGTGGAATTGTTATTGAGATGCGGCGCCAGAGATGATGAGTGTAAAGCCCTTTCGGTTGCTGTACAAAATAGGGATGAGATTTTATCCGCCAAGCTTCTCTCCACCAAAGTACGAAACTTCTTAATTATTATATTAAATGATGTTTGATGTAACATTCTTCCAGGCGCATCCAGATCCGGAGTTCAAGATAAACAAGAAAGCTATGGCCGATAACATTCATTCCTCGCAGTTCTCGCTCTTCTCCAACGTGACAAATCTAACTTACAGCACGATCTTTCCTAATACTCCGACGATGATTAATTGGCACAACCAGAGATGCCATTTAACTCAGATACGAACCCAGTGGCTCACGGATGCTGCTCTTCATCTGAACACTAAGCTGAAGCAGAATCCGAGGAGCGCTGAAGTGGCGTTGTACGCCATCACCCGTTTAGATATATCCAACAATTCGTTGAAATCTGTACCTCTCGCTGTATTCCAACTATACAGTTTGAAATTCTTGAACATTTCGCAAAACAAAATCGAAAAATTGCCTGTACCTGTGGAGAAAACCGAACGCAAGTTGCATAGACTAAAGAAGAACAAGATCGAGGATTTGGACTACTCTTGTCCCGTCCTGGAAGAGCTGTATTTGCAGGACAATCGCTTGGATAGCATCTCGGAGGCTATCTTTCGACTTCCGAATCTCGTCACTTTGGTGGTCTCCAATAACAAGCTTCAGCAGCTCTCGTATAACATGTGGTTGGCACCGAAACTGAAAGAGCTGAACGCCTCGTTTAATCTGCTGAAAGAACTACCCACGTACGCAAACGATAATGCCAAAGATGACTTTGATAAGATGAGCGTCAGCTCAAGCGATAGTCAGCTTTCCATTCACGCCGAAGTCGATCTCGAAACTGAAATGAGCGACGCTGATACGGAAATGGAAGATGGGAAGTTGCCGGTTAGATATAAGAAGAAAGAGCGAAGTTTGATGTAAGCTTTATTATCTCTCTAATTTGATCATATTATTACAATCTATTTAATTTGCAGACAACTTGATGTTAACAAGCATCATATATGGAGTAAGAGCGTCGAAGTTACCGAACAGATACTGCATAACGACGATTCGATAGCAGAAAAATCTTCACAGCTATCCTCGTTGAATTTAGCGCATAATCTGTTTACGAGTGTGCCGGTCGTTTTGCCGTGTCTTGCCGTTAATCTGACGCGATTGAATTTGGCCTTTAATTCTTTACGCTCGATGTCTCACATCACCAGCTATCCGAGCTCTTTGAAGCAATTGGATTTGAGCCACAACAAGATTTCGGTTTGGCCCAGTTTGCCGCAGGTCGAGGCCCAAGACGTAATGGAGCAAGCCAATTTGGCGTGCTATTCCAATAGCGGTACCAAAGACAAATTACCTATGATGGCTGGTGCGGAACAAAAACCAACAAATCCTCATTATGTTATGATTTGTTTTTGTTGTTATATAGGTAGGAGGCAATCTGGAAGATCGGTGAGGAATATAGTATTGCACACAGTTTGCTCTCATCGAAGACACTTGCGTTTGGACAATCTTAGGACATTGATATTAACCGATAATCACTTGTATAGGATACAATTGGCCACGGACGATGATGGTGACTTCAGCAACATCGATGAGGACGATTCCGAGAGAGTAAATTATAATTTACAACAATTTTTACATTAATTACTATATTCGATATTAATTTTAGAGCGTTTTATTAAGCAAGCAAAGACTGATGTTCCCAAACCTATCGATGCTCGACATAAGCAACAACTACCTGAAGGAGATTCCGCACAATATTTTCGAGCTGAGCAACCTGTCCGTGCTGAATATCAGCGGCAATTTGGGTGAGTAAACAGGAATTAAAAATAGGCGTCCGAAATTATAATTTTCTTTCCGTTTATTTTTAGATATAAACGAACTCCCACCACAGATGGGATTGCTCTCTAGGTTATGGAATCTAAACACGCGAGGTTGTTCCTTACAGGAACCTCTAAAATCCATGATCGACAGCAAAAAATACAAAACAATGGACATCATCGGATATTTGAAATCAGTGCTGGAGGATGCGAGACCGTACGCCCGGATGAAGTTGATGATTGTCGGTATCCAAGGTATCGGGAAAACAAGCCTTTTGGAGCAGCTGAGACAAGAGGGCATCTCCAGACGTAAACCCGAGGTAATCAACTAGTTTATTTAACAAATAAGATTCACTAATATTTAATTCAAACAGCATTGGGCTAAGCGAATGGGCAACAAGAATATAAACGTTAAAACCTCGAGGGGGACGAACATGTCCACGGTGGGTGTTGACATCGGTGATTGGGTGTACGAGAAGAAGATTCGGAATCAGTCGTCTCATGGACCTGTCATCTTTCGCACCTGGGATTTCGGTGGACAAAAAGAGTAATTGAAATCTTGAAATTCTATATTCAATTATTTACTTAAATTCTATTCACTTACAGGTACTACGCAACGCATCAGTACTTTCTATCGAAAAGAAGTTTGTATCTTGTGGTTTGGAAAATTTCGGATGGTTACAAGGGAATTAACGAAATCCTCCAGTGGCTCGTGAATATTCAAGCGCGAGCACCGAATTCTCCAGTGTTAATTGTTGGGACGCACTACGACGTGGTTCAAGATACGAATCCGAATATGTCCGAAGAATACCAGCAAGTGATTCGGGATAAATTCATTAATATAGTGGATGCCGAGAAGTGCGGTTTACCGCGAGTGTTGGATACGATAGAAGTCAGCTGCAAAACGCGACATAACGTTAAATTACTCTGCAATTTGATCTACGATACCGTATTTAGTTTACGTCCTCCAGGTTCGTAGTAGTCCTATCAAAATGTACCATTGAAATAACTGATTATTTAATTTTATTTAGGAAGCAAAGAATTGCTCTTGGAACAAAAAGTACCTGCCACCTATTTAGCTTTAGAAGACGTAGTTAATTACATAGCGACTGAGAGGAGGGTGAACAATATGGATCCAGTTTTGAACGCGGATCAGTATAGATCTATAGTGACGACGGAGATGCAGCAGCGCTACAATCGGACGTTTAGGGACGCTGCAGAGTTGCATCAAGCAACCCTTTTCTTACATGACAATGGTAATTATATTATTATTTCTGTTGTTTTCATAAATTAAGTTTATTCTGTAGGCGTTTTACTGCATTATGATGACGCCACTTTGAAGGACTTATACTTTTTGGATCCACAATGGCTTTGCGATATGTTGGCTCATGTGGTAACGATTCGCGAGATAAACCCTTTCGCTCGTACCGGTATCATGAAGTTAGACGATCTGAAGCATATCTTCAAAGCCAGCAACATCGGACCTATGGATACCAGAGGTTACATAGTGAATCTGCTGAACAAATTCGAGGTGGCTTTAACTTGGGATTCTCGGACACTCTTAATCCCGTCGCTGTTGCCATCAGAAGAGGAAATCCATATGGCTCAGATGTTTCCGGGCCAATTTCATCCAATGGTTAAAGTGAAAGTGCCTTTGAGATCCAGAGGTTGGGCTGTGAGAAATAAAAAGATCACAGTTTCGCCGAAATCTGTTTTGTACAGAGATAGCAGCGCACCGGGCCGATTTGAGATGAGTCTACCATCGAGTTCAAAGGCGACAGTTGGTTTGTTGAGATTTGTTCTGTTGTTAATCTGGTAAATATTAATTGATTTGCTATTGTAGAGGAACCAGCGGAATTGATTAAATATCATGTAACATCCGCATCGAGTAACAAATCCATTATGCGATTATTACTCATGTCCTATTTTCCTTCCGGATTTTGGTCGAGGCTCATGTCCAGGATTCTTGCAGATGATAGCATTATAGACATCATTCGTTCCTTCTTCATATTCCCCAAAGAAGTTACGCAAGATTTGGAGCTCATGAAGTTGTTGGATTTCAAAGCTGAGTGGGTCTTGTGGCAGACCGGTCTACAACTTAAATACGGCGACATTACTTTGTTCAGATTGCGCGAAGTGTTACACAATTCAGCCGCTCACTACAAACAATTAAAGTAAAGTATATTCGATTATAATGTACTTGTAATAATGTGTTGCATTTATTTAAAGAATTAAACTGCAGCAGGATGGAGTTTGGTGCGACGTGGATTTGCAGAATACGTCGATCCTGGAAATCTATTTCCCGGTGGAATCTCTTGTGATTAAGCCGAATTACACGGAGAGGAACGAGTTTTATAGGTTTAAGGTTAAAAAGGATCTGACGATCGAAAGCATTCCTGAATCCACGGCACAGCTGTTAGCCTTGGCTGTTGATCATATCGACATCCTTTTGGAGGATTGGTATCCAACGTTGGGCACGCGATTTGTGCACACGTCGGAAGGAAAGTTCTTGATCACAAGATTGGTTCCGTGTCCCAAGTGCCTTTCCACCTCAACAGATGTTGAGCAACATTTAATCAACTTCCCAGGCGAACCTCCAAAATACCTCTCAGAAGTAAGTAACTATCATTTTCTTGAGTTTAAGATTAACAGATTAACATTTTCAGTTTGAAACTAACGAATCTTATGGAATGGACAACATGATTAGGAAATCTCAAGAGTCTTACACCTCTGAATGCGATAGTGGAGTTGGTCCGGATTCCCCTGGATCGAGTCCTATGCCTACGGTGGAAGGACATATCAACGAAACGTTGGAAGAATCTCCAAATCAAGTTTATTACAGTTGGATGGTGGAGGAATGCATTTTGGCTGCTTACAATGATAAGATCGTGACGTGCCCAACTCACGCTAATTTACCTTTGAGCCAGATTGCGCCTGACACAGTAAATATACTATTATTAAACTTGAGCTGTGTTTTAAGCAGAAAGTTTTAGATATTTTTGGATTTGGGTGATAGGCATTTGATAAAGCCGGAGAACATCAAGAAGGGTCGACTGTTGGGACGCGGAGCGTTCGGTTTTGTTTTTAAGGGAACGTGCAAGAACCGTGGTTCGAACACCATCATCGATGTTGCAATGAAGATGTTGCAACCCGTCCAGCCTGGTCCAAATGCTCGACAATCCGCTGTTATTGCATACAAAGCGGCGCAAGGGAAATGGGATAGAGATCCTTTGCAGTATGCTTGCAAAGCATATTGCACTGCGAGACAAGAGTTGAACATCTTGCTGTCTTTGAGGCATCCAAACATCGTTCCTTTCGTTGGAGTTTGCACGAGTCCTCTAGCTTTGGTCTTGGACTTGGCACCTCAAGGGGCGTTGGATTTGGTTTTGAGGCATTACAGACGATCAGGTGCTAAAGTTGGCGTTTACACTTTGCAATCGATAATCTTACAAGTAATTAACAACAACCAATTTATTACTAAGTGATCTTAATTAATTCTTATTGTAGGTGGCGAAAGCTATCGAGTATTTGCACCGGCAACATATCATTTACAGAGATCTGAAATCTGAAAACGTGTTGGTGTGGGAGATGCCACCGCCTTTCATGGATCACCCCGATCATCTCGTCCATATAAAAGTTGCCGATTACGGTAAGTTAATGACTGTAATTAACTTATTTACAGTGATTATTTTTTAGGTATAAGCAGATTAACCTTACCATCGGGAACTAAAGGATTTGGTGGAACCGAAGGTTTCATGGCTCCTGAAATAATGCGTTACAACGGCGAAGAGGAGTATACGGAGAAAGTAGACTGTTTCTCTTTCGGAATGTTCGTTTACGAGCTTTTAACGTTGCACCAACCCTTCGAAGGGCATGAATCCGTGAAAGAGTGCATTTTGGAAGGCGGGAGACCACCTTTAACTTACAGAGTATTTATTTATAATTGTATTTAATTTATGGATATTTCCTTACACGTTTTATATTGTAGGAAACGTTGTATCCGAGTTACTTCTTGGATTTGATGGTTCTTTGCTGGTCTCAGCAGCCTAAAGATCGTCCATCTGCGAGTCAGATAGTTTCAATTGCGAGTGCACCAGAATTCACTCATCTCAGCGATGTTATGTCTTTGAAACATCAAGCTCCAGTCGTCGCTTCCACGAGCGCTCCAATCTCTCACATATCAGGTATGTTGCAAGAAATAGCTATTTTATTAAACTTTTATTAAAATCTTGTTTGCAGATGATGGTTTATCAGGATCGGAAATGTGGTTGATGTGTGCCAATTCTCGAATCGATCTTTTATTGGCCGCTGATCGTGGTTGGTTGCAATACCACACAATGGCTTTACCTATTAAACCCACAGCTTCATGTACCGTTGGACCAACTATATGGATTGGGGATTACATTGGAAGGATTCACGCGTATTCGTATGTATTTTTTTAAAATTGTAATTAATGTAAGTGTAATTAACAATTTCATTTTAGTGTAACTGATGGTTATAAAATATTTTCGTACGCTCTTGAAAGCGAAGAGAATACATCGATACAAGCTCTTTTATACTTACCTAGTTTGAAGCGCGTGGCTTGCGCTCTTTCCAATGGTCGACTGTTTCTCTTGAACTCTGAGACGATACCAAGGACGCCGTCTTCGGCGGAAGGAACGTTCGTGATGACGGAGTTGGGCGCAAGCACAGTGATAAATTGTCTTTGCGCTTTGTACAAAGAGAGCGATAAGTGAGTTTTCTTTAAGTTTGTTTTTGTTATTTACTTTGCTAATATTAATTTGAATTGTAGTGTATGCGAGTTATGGAGTGGACAATCCATGGGACAGATTTCCATATACACGATTAAGGATCAAGTTGTGGCCGGGCACGAGATGCTTAATCATTTTCAACCAATCATCGACTCTGTGGATGTGGTGAATATGGTGTCTGCGGATAACTCGGTGTGGTCTTACGTGTATCCCGGTTGCATTATTTACCAATGGGATCAGAAGACGCGAACGATAATCAACAAATTGGATAGCTCGAAGCTGGTGCCTTGCTCGGAGAGCTTGAAGTCCATTGCGATCGAGGAGCATCTTAGTCCTACCAATTGTCAGGTCACCAGTCTTGCAGTTCTGAACGATGAACTGTACATTGGAACCACTTGGGGTTGCATCATCATAGCGGAACGAGCCACGTTACGTCCGATCACCATATTCCGGCCTTACGAGGAGGACGTCAGAGCCATCGTACCTTTGTCCAGATGCAAGAGTTCCAACGAGAGCCACGACAACACCCCTCTGATAGCAACCATCGGAAGAGGTTACAGGAGTTTACCGTCCCGTTACTTGGACGTCGCAGTCAACATCGGCCACACACTTCCAAGTCCAGTTTCTTCCACCTCGCCCACATTGCTCAGCAAGCAAAACATGTTCGTTCTTCTCTGGAGAGCCGAACATTGGAGCACGATGTAAATACTTGTATCACACATACTGTGACATCCTCGCGTTCCCACACGATCTTTACTACCATTCATTCAATTTTTACCCAATATAATTATTTTTCTTTATAAAAGCAATAGTTTAGACACTAAAGGAACGTGACGGACGCACATTACTCTTCAGACATTCAAAGTATTACAAAGTAGTTGTTATTAATACTCTCTTTTATTTCCTTGTACGGATCGAAATAGTTCTAGTTATTTCTTCTTGATATTATACATACTGTCGACTGTTAAAAGAACAAAGAAAAAAGTAATAGTAAACGTGTATCCTATTAGCGAATGGCTCTAAAAAAAATTATTTTTATTATTTATGACGTAAATTGAATAGACTGTTTCGTTTGAAAATCGAGTCTTAACTCGAGATTGTATTAACAAACAAAAAAAACTGTGATTTATTAATTTGTATCTTGTCATTTTTCATTTTATTATTATTATTAATTGTTATTAAATAAATTGAACTGGTTACATTGTTATATATATAACTAAGTGAATTAATAATTATTTTTATTTTATTTGATTCCCAAGTTGGCCTTGAATTATGTTTACTTAATGGTAATACAAGTAAATAAGACAATCTAGGATTACAATTTGTTTATTATAAGGTTTATGTTACATACAGATATATTCAGTGAATGATTAAACAACAAGTAATGAGTATAAGTTACTTTAAGTTGACGTAATATGCGGTCATGTAGATCTTGAAAACTTCGTCGTCTTCTTTACTTTCCAACGCTTTCAAAATTTTCGTCTGCTTCTCCTCGCTTCGTTTCTTTGGCAACAGTTTCAAAATCAACAGCTTTCCGTGCAAGCTGAGCTCCGTCTCTAAGCAATATTCCAAGAACTGGTAAATGTCTTCAGATTCATCTGATGGAAACAATAACTCGAAGAATCTCTTCACGGACTCAGCGTGTACGGACAACACTTCAGATCCGTACTTATCGATCGCAGTTTTCTGCTGCTTCAAAGCGAACGCAGCGAGATCCTTCAAACCGTTTTCCAAATAATGCTTCGTCAATCCCATCAACACATCCAAATTGAACTGCACGAAGGGTAGCCGAAGGTTCTCCAAAATCACGTTCAAAATCTTCGGATCGTTATTGGCCAGAGCGATGTTGCAGAAAGTCTCGAAGAGATTATTGATGTCGCTGATGGAATTGACACCTTTCACATTGACAAGTTCCAAAAGGAAGTTGACTTTTTCTTTCGGTAACTCTTGACATTGGGCCAAGAAGTTGTAAACGAACAATTTGCAGTACAGTGTTTTAAATCCAATTGATTTGATGACGGTGCAGCAAAGATTGAAAGACATTTTCGCAACGATGTCGGCGTTGAGGTGAAGCAGTATAAGCGGGTAACTTTCGGGCTTTAGGAAGCTCCAAATTTGCTCCAAGTATACTGGTAAATAAATCTCCGATATCTTCTCGATCTTTGGAAGTAGCTCCAAACTCTCCTCATCCTCGCTATTTATCGAAGATATTTTTTTACTCAGTAAACTCCAAGTGCTGTTGCAAGGGTTATTGCAGAAAGCCGAGATCGCGCATCTGTACAAGCACTTCTTCATCATCGAATTATTTTCATCTTCGAACAGTTTCGCAGCCAACATTTCATTATCACGCAAGTTTATTGTCTGTGCAGCGACGTACATCGCGTGCTTCTTTAGATGGTCGGAATTGTTGAGAAAGAACTGTAAATTATGAAGTAGATTCTTCTCCGGAATGTGCGAAAAGCAACGGTAGAAAGCGCTCAAAGCATGTGGAAAATATTTGTTGCAGGAGTACTTGGTAATAGTGGTAACAACATGCTGCTGCTTCTCGACGTTTTTGATGTTGATCAAGAACGTTTTATGCAATTCCATAACGAGAGCTCTCTGATCCACGGCAATGCAGTTCTCGTTACGTTCCAAACTATCCGCAGCATCAAGATAAACACGAGAGAAAGACATCAGACTGTGTTCTGGATGCAGCTTAGACTTGAACGTTGCAAGTGCTGCGTTGTAATGCATTTTCGATAATTCGTAATAGAAATAATGGGAATCTACTAAATGGATGACGCGATCGGCGTATCTATCGATCAAATGCGGTTTCCGTTTCAGTATATTAAGAGTGACGACTTCGTGCATTCCCTTTGCGTTCTCCATGTACAGATCCAGGATTCGCTCTTCCACTTCCATAGCTTCTTCGGTGATTGGTTTGAACATGAACAGGCTTTTCAAGATTCCGTGATTCATGCTCTCGTAATCGGTCATCTCCTCGAAGAAATATTTCAAGTATTCGGGATAATTGTGCAAATCGATCCTGTACTTCCTCGTCGTTTTGTTCAATTCGACGACGGCTTGCAAGAACATCACGATCCGCCTCTTTGGTCCCATACACACAATCCTATTTCTGACTTGAGGATATTTCAATATACAAATCCTGCTGTACTTGGGTTCATCTTCAAACATCCTCCATTGTCCGTGGCAACTGGTTCTATTAATATATGATATTATATCGCTGCTGATGTCAACGCCTGCATCAATTTTCTTCTTCACTATGACTTGCGTGAACTTTTCCCTATGGTAAAACATCTCCCGATTCGAATCGAAAGCCGACAGTATCTCTTCAATCAACCTGAAATGCGCATCGCTCAATGTGCTCAAATTGTAGTCCACATAGAGGGCTAACAGAAACTCTTTGCGGACGACTACATTATCATCCAAATGGCATTTGCAGAAATATTTCAGCACGTCCAACAGAGCTTCCAGGTTATAATTAAGATGACAGGTCTTCACCAAATTACAAACCAGTTCTGACTTCAACTGCTCGTCTTCCGTTAAATTCAGTTGCGTCTTGAATAGTTCGATTGATTCGTGAATGGGTCGCATCTCGGGATAATCGTCGAGGTTGAATTTGAGCCTGTCCTCCGGACGCAGCAATTCCAACAGATCGTACTGCGAATCGGTGAACTCCATGTTGTACGCGTCTCTGAAATTCTCGGTGAAAACTTTGTAGCGCTCTTCGATGGGGAACTCCGTTAAAGCGAACACCAGATTCATTACTTCGATAGGGAAATTTTCGGGTGTTTCAGGAAACATATTTCTGTAATATCTCGCATACTCGGATTCACTTAAATGCTTGCGTATCAGATTCGAGTGATGGCGATGATCGATGGAGTTCTTCATAATAACTTCTTTGTCTTCTTTCAAAACTTTGACGATACTCTTCGGCCCCATATTCGGCTTTCCGAATTCCGTTAGTTGGCAAAAGGTTTTGATGTCCGTTTTCAAGAGATTCTTGGCGAGCGAAGTGCACTCGCCAAATTTCAAATTGGTTTTCTTGAAATATACATACAGAAATTCAGGATGCTTCAAATGGATGTGAAACAATTGTCTGCTGTTCAATCGGACGTTGTTATGCAGTACAGCTCTGAGTATAGTTTCTAGTGTGCATGCAGGTAGCAGATTTTTAGCAGACATAAGTCCGTAATTGGATTTCACAGCTTCAAAATACTCATCGGCTGTCGCATCTAGAACGAATCCCAATTTGTAAATCAACTTGCTTCTGGTGGAAAATGATATGTTCGGGCAGATTTCATCTATGAAGTCTTTGGCGCCAATCTCCTTGGCTATATACTCGATGAATAACTTATCGCGCGTTATCTTCTTGGTGGCAATTACATTTTCTTCGAACAGCAACTCCATGAGATCGGCGTGGAGCTCGAAGTGCTGCATGATTTTGATGCGAAACAGTTGTTCCTGCATGTTCTTTGGCGAGAAGAACGGAAGCATTGTAAATACCGTATCTTTGTCGAGTCTGTTCAGGTAGTGGTTGAAGTTCTCCTTGTACTCGGGGATGGTGGAACCGAACAAATCGTGGAACTCCTCCACCAAGATCTCCATTTGATTCATGACTGCAAACGCCGAGTGCGACCATTCACAACAAACTAAACGGAGGCTGTATGCATTGGTGTAGGTCTTTTCGGACGTAATCGATAAAATTGCGACACCGACGCGCCACACGCTCCTCGTCCTTGAATTCAAAGGATCGATGACAACAATTTGAATTCAAAGTTTTGCATGCAATTACTAAAATAATAAAATCTTATTTTTGTCCAGTTTTAATCTATTAATAAATATTATTAAAACTTAATAGGGGAAACTTCCAAAAAATAACAATAGAATTTCGCAATTATTGCACAAATTTAATAAAATTTAATCCAATTATTACAAAAATATAATTAAATAAAACGCAGAATAGTAGCAATTCCTACACATCATTAATATTTAAGTAATGTATAAATAATTTAAATTTAGTGTATAGTTGGTTGCCTACATAATCTTCCTTACTATACACAAACTTGATAATTACTCCAATTTTGTAACTTATTTACGTGATTTATTAGGAAATTTGATGTATTAATGAGCTTTAATTTAAGAAAATTAGGAAAAACAATAAAATGTAATTAAAAATTTAGGTTTTATTAATGATTTCTTGTTTATATAAATAAATTAATTTTCTTACAATCTTTATAAATTAAGTAGTAAAAAGAATTATTTTAAGTTGATGTAATGATTGGTGAGGTGAATCTTCAATGTATCTCCATTATTAAACTTTTCCAGTTTCTTAGCAATGTTCTTCTGTCGCTCATCGTTCTTTTCATTTGGTAATAATTTGATCGCCAAAAGTTTCCCATGCAAACTGTTCTCATTTTCCAAAACACAATTGATAAACTCGTACAATTTATCAATTTCGTTCTCTTCAAAGAAACCGAAGAATGTTTTAACTGAATTCGCATGAAGCTGTACCATCTCTACACCATATTTCTGTATCACCATTTTCTGTTGATCAATCACCAATTTGGTGAACTCATCGAAATTGTTCTGCAGACAATTTATACCTAAATTAGGGAACAGAATAAAATGTAATTAAAAATTTAGGTTTTAATAATGATTTCTTGTTTATATAAATAAATTAATTTTCTTACAATCTTTATAAATTAAGTACTAAAAAGATTTATTTTAAGTTGATGTAATGATTGGTGAGGTGAATCTTCAATGTATCTCCATTATTAAACTTTTCCAGTTTCTTAGCAATGTTCTTCTGTCGCTCATCGTTCTTTTCATTTGGTAATAATTTGATCGCCAAAAGTTTCCCATGCAAACTGTTCTCATTTTCCAAAACACAATTGATAAACTCGTACAATTTATCAATTTCGTTCTCTTCAAAGAAACCGAAGAATGTTTTAACTGAATTCGCATGAAGCTGTACCATCTCTACACCATATTTCTGTATCACCATTTTCTGTTGATCAATCACCAATTTGGTGAACTCATCGAAATTTTTCTGCAGACAATTTATACCTAATTGCAGTAACATCTCCACATGGAAATTCTC